ACCTTGTCCCCCAGCCCAGAGCACTGAGTGCCACGGCCAGGCCTGCCTTGGACACCTCCAGGGCTGGGCACTCCAAACCTCCCTGGGCAGCCCCTGCCAAGGCCTGACCACCCTTGCCAGCAACAAATTCCTCCTCCTGGCCAACCTGAGCCTCCCCTGGCACAGCTGGAGGCCGTTCCCTCTCCTCCTGTCCCTGTTCCCTGGGAGCAGAGCCGACCCCCCCCAGCTCCCCCCTCCTGTCAGGGATTGCAGAGCCAGAAGGTCCCCCTGAGCCTCCTTTTCTCCAGGCTGAGCCCCCGCAGCTCCCTCAGCCCCTCCTCATATCTCTGACTCTCTAATAACACCCAGTATTACTGCAATAACATCTCTCTAAGTCAGGTCCCCAGACTGAGCTTGGATGAGACCCACAGGGTGCAAAGTCTGGATTAAATCCTGGATGTTTGTGAAAAACAAACACCCCCTCCCTCCTCCCCTCTTTAAGTATAGTTTTGTTTTGTTTTTTAAAACTGAGAAATCCAACCAGCCCACACAATTTGCCAATGAAAATACAGGAAGGGCAAGAGGGTTGGTGGGTCTCCCCAAGACCCAAGTATTTATTAACACTGAAATTACACCAGGGAGGTGGCAGAACCTTCTTGTGAAAGGTGTCCCTGCCCAGGGCAGGGGGGTGGAACAAGATGATCTTTAAGGTCCCTTCCAACCTTCTGGGACTTTGTGATTCAGGCTCCCATGTCCCTGTTAGTGAAGATCAACACGTGCCAGGAGGAGAAGCTGTCCTAGATGTAGATGAGCAATCTCAAGACACACACACAACAAATAAGATGTGCAGGGCAGTGGTGGAAAATAAACATCTAAGACAAAATTTTCAAAGGAAACACGAAAAGTAGGAATAGAAGGGACCCTGAGGGATCATGTAGTCCAGCTGCCCCCCTTGGAGGACAACAGCTCACCCAAACCAACCCAGAAGGGTGTTCAGTAAATCCAATCTAACATTCCTGGTTGGCACCTCTGTACCTCTCCAAAAGCCCCTTGTGCCTGAAAGGAGCCTTTGTGCTGCATTTCCTGGGGAACTTGAATTATTTTGTTGCTAATAGGTCTCTGTGTTACCTCGCAGAAGGTGCTCCCACTTGGGTTTGGTGCCATCTGAGCACTGGAAGGAGGCTGGAGTTACACCAAAAATTGTGAATAGTGAGGCAGAGTAATAAAGACCATGTCAGTGTGGGACATTCACATGGAATACAGTGATTAAAGGCCAGATCATTCCGGGAAGATCAGCTCTACGCCTCCGAAGTGACGCGACATCAGCAACGCTCACACCCAGTGAAACCGCTGTTCCCTGAGCAGCTCGTCAGCGAAAGTGGTGAATAACAGCAGGAACACGACCACCTCCCTCATCTTTGGCAATGCATAATTGATAACTTCACTTTGACAAAGCCCTTTCCCAGGGAGTTTTGTCCTCACTCTGTGGTGGTTTCATTCAGACTCTTCTCCGCTCTCCCGTTCCCAAAGGCGCGACGTGGGACATGTCCCAGTGCGATCCCAGCCGGGTCTGTGCCATCCCCGCTCCTGCCCTGGCATCAGGATGTGCTGCCCCAGCTGCAGGACAACTCACAGCCTCTTGGCACAATTTGTTATTGAGAGATTTGTGATGGCTGCTCCCACGTGTGCTCCATAAAAACTGGCCTTCTCTGCTATTTTTCAGGAAATGAATGTTAATCTGACTGCTCCTTTGCCCTTTTCCACCTCTCCTATGGCAGGCCCTGGGGTTACCTCCCTCCACGCTGATTTTCATTCCCATTTAACTTCTGTTCAGCCTCCAAGGTCTCTGCCAGCAGCCCTGGGGCTGCTCCTGCCCCTCTCTAAGTGCTCCCACGGGAATTGTCACCTTGCTCTTACCCTGCCCTGCTCATTGAAAACCATCCATTTCATTACCTTTGTATTTTTTTCCCTATTTTCTCTGATTTCCTGCTTGGCTGCTACTGTTAGACTACTCCAGGAAGAATAATTTATAACTAAAAAATAAATAGCTGCCATGCCTGGTCACACCATCCATCACTCTCTGTGCTTCCCCACCATTTGAATACCAAAGCAGCTCGTACATCAACCTGTGCTCACTGAATGCAAATCACCTCCTGCTTTCCCATCCCTTACTCTTTTGCTTTTCGTGCTCTTGCTGCTTCCTTCCATAAATCATCATTCCTGTTTTCTTCTCATGCCAGGGATCACTGCAAAGGTGGGGATTTATGCCGGTATTTTCTAGTGCTCTTCTTGGTTAGTCATTCCACTGGTGGGGTTTGGGAAAAAAAAATTGCTGTTTTGATTCCATGCGTAACAAACTGCACAACTTCCTGAAATGTGTCCTCCCAGGCATTGTCTTTGTGTGATCAGAGAATCCTGGAATGGTTTTGGGTGGAATATCCAGTGCCGCCCCCTGCCATGGACAGGGACACCTTCCACTCTCGCAGGTTGCTCCAAGCCCCACCCAACCTGCCCTTAGACACTTTCAGGCATGGGGCAACGAGGTACCTCCAGCTCAGTTTTCCCAAGCCCACCTTGCTGAAGTCAAGTCCTTTCAGTTATAAAAAGCAGACAAAGAAGAGCAAATAAAACCCCAAGAGAATAAAAGCCTTTAGCAGTGAAGGTCCTGCTGGCTGGCACCGCTTCTCTCCTTGAAACAATCACCACGGACACCCCAGGAAATGCAATATTCCTGCACGTGCCCATAGAGCTGTCTGGACAAAGCCATGGGCCCTGGACAAGTGGCAGATATCCCAGCAGGTAGAAAGGTTTTTTGGGACAAGGCTGAGACCAAACAGTTTCTCTTCATCTTACCTACCAAGTTCTTCCTCTCTGCTTGCAATGCCCACTTCCAGCTCTCCCTCCTGTCCTGCTCCATCCTGTCACAGGAACCAGCTCCAAGTGTTCCCTCTTCCCTGTCCCTACCTGGGGCATTCAGGGCAAACCTCACACCCCCCACAAGGGCTAGAAGATATTTCTGAGTCTAAGCCCTGCTCAGTCCTAGAATACCTTCAGCTTTTGCAGGCAACATACCAAATTTAGAGAGATTAGATTAAATGTAACATATTAAACTTAGATAGGGAAGGAAAAAGTGCTTCTCTGTTTCATGTAAAGGCAAGGAATTAGTGACCAGCTATGACAGAGGCTGCATCATGAGGGGCATTTAAAAATAAAAACAGTGAGCCAGAAAAGCTTCAGGAAACATCTGCTTTTGATCTAAAAACTTCTGAAAATATTTGAAGTACTACAAAGATCTGCAGCCTGGACTTGGCCTGACCTGGGCAGCCCTGGCATTGCCCCAGTACTGTCACGGGCAGAGTGGGAGCTCCAGACAAAGCTGATCAGGGAGACCCTCCTGCTGAGTCACGAGGGGCAGAAAGGACCCCAAACAGACCCTCCAAAACCTCCCTAGGACCCTCTGACTTCCTAAACTCCTTCCCAGACAGGGATCTGGGTGCAGCTGGATCCAACCCCAGCCCAAGACTTTGGTCAATGGTTTATGTCCAAAGGATTGTGCAGCTGTGATTGAACCTTTGTGCAACTTTGTCTCACAGGATTAAGGATGGCTAACCAGATACATGCATATAAATAATTTATCATAATCATGATTACACTGAAAGACCTCAATCAGAATTATTTACTACACAGTATAGCAGCTACAACTCCCGGTATAGTGCACTATTTTTAAGCAATATTGGAGCAATTATAATGAAGTGAACAAACCAGTTATTAATCAGAGACTGATGTCACTCACCCAGACCAAGAATCATGGGCAAATCTCTTCGGTTCAGTCTTGAGGGGTGACCTTGATAGGTGTCCTTAGAGGTACTCTGAGAAAGGGGATGCCAAAAGACCCTCCCATTAAAACTGGGTCTGGGCTTCTATAGGATAAAGCACTGGACTGTCAGGTGTCTCTGGGCTGTGCCAGCTCAGCAGCTTTAGATGAGGTATCAGTGCTATCAGCTGTGGCTTCCTGGCTCAGGTACTTCACCAGCTCTGCCACACCTTCACCTCAGATTGGCTGAATTTTGGGATTGAGGAGTCAGGCTGGTCTCGGCTTTACCCAACCCCCAAAGCAGTGTGACCCTCCTTTCCATCTGCCACTGACAGCTTTGCAAGTAAGGCAGCGTTCAAGGTGTCTTCCTGCACTCAGGCAGAGCCTCCCGCTCCACTCCACCCTTCCTTTCAGAAGCCGCTGAGGTTTTGCTGGAGGTTTGTTCCTGCTTCAGAGGAAGGAAAGCCTGAAATAAGCAAAGCAGCATGGAGCTGCTCCGAGGGCTGGAACCAGGCTGGAGACCTGGGAGTGTTCACCTGGAGAAGAGAAGGCTCCAGGGAGACCTCAGAGTCCCTTCCAGTGCCTAAAGGGGCTCCAGGAGAGCTGGAGAGGGACTTTGGACAAGGGGGAATGGCTTCCCACTGACAGAGGGCAGGGATAGGTGGGTTCTTCCCTGTGAGGGTCACAGGCACAGGTTGCCCAGAGAAGCTGTGGCTGCCCCTGGATCCCTGGAAGTGTCCATGGCCAGGTTGGACGGGGCTTGGAGCACCCTGTTCTGGTGGAAGGTGTCCCTGCCCATGGCAGGGGAGGCACTGGATGGGCTCTGACATCTCTTCCAAACCAAACCATTTTTGTTATTTTGTGACCTTTCCTACCCCCCAGGACAAGCTCCTACATTTACAGATCCCACACCACCCAGAGTCGATCCTGTTCTCCCTGGGGCACTGCCCCTCCTCAGCGGAATTTCACATCAGCACAGCGAGGCTGGTTCAGAGCACAACTTTATTATCAACCCCACCCTCCAGGGAGTCCCAAAAGCCCAAAGGACCAGACACCAGAGCTCAGCCAGCCCAGCACAGCCACGGGGTGGGAACAGATGTGCAGGAGCTCTTACATCAGGGCAGAGATTGTTTTGCCCTTCCCAGGATGGCAAGGAAATCCCTGCCCTGCTCAGCTGCAAGCTGCTCACACTGAGCACTTACTGGGGTGTGTGACCAGCTGGGACAGTCAGACCCAAGTCAGCTGTGCCAGCAACTCTTGCAGGGCAGCTGGAGCAGTCCAGGCCATGTCCCTTTAGGAAACACTCACAGGGACCTCCATCCATGGGATCCACAGCCCCTCAGGCAGCAGCACAAGGGCCAGAGGCAGCAGGACCAGGACAGAGCACGGCAGAGCACGCACAGCTCGGTCACTCTCAGGAGCCAAGTCCTCCATCCCGTCAGGGGAGGATCTCTTTTTCCAAGAGTAGTATTTGGCCACAACCACGTTGGGGTTCCCCTGGGCAGGGTCGAACCACATCTGGATGCAGCGCCCGCTGCCCCGGCGAGCAGTGGTGTATCTGTAGGAGTGGGACCAGATCTTCTCACACAGGTCTTTGGGCCGGGGGAAGACCTCGCTGAAGGGTCTGCACATGGAGCCCCAGGGACAGCGGTTCCTTCCTGGGGACAGAGCACCACAGGAGGACAGGTCAGCATGAGCACTGGGACAACCCTTCCCTAGGGTCCTTTGCCTGCCCACAGCCCATCACCACACCTGGGCTGATGGGGGGTGGCAACCCCAGAACGTGAGGGTGATTTGGGGTCCTGGCAGCAGTGACACTGCCGGTGACCCACCTGGGGGAGTGAGGAGAGGCTCCCCACAGCCCACAAACCTGTTGCCCAGTTCCAGCCCTTGTGCCAGTTCTCTTTGCAGGTGACAGCATCCCTGCAGTCCTCCCACCACTGCTCGCAGTCCTCCTGGCACAGGGGCACGTGGAGAATCCTCTCCCGACGCCAGCTGCTGTCAGCCTGCAAGGGGACACGACCAAGCACGCTGGGGAGAAGGCCTGAAAATCAAGGGCAAGATCTGCCCCATCCCAGATCACCCCCCAGCCCTTCCCACTGGGCTCCAGAAATCGATCTCAGAAGCATTTCAGCCTCTGCAGGGATGTGCCTTGACAAAAGCTCTTCCATCAGTCAGATAGGCCGAAGAAGTGGCCAGAAAAGTCCTTGGAATCTTTCCACCCAGTAGGAAAGGTTGGGACAGCCTAGATTTTTGGAAAGAAAAATATTCCTCTGGGGGTGGGCAGGCTCTGGCACAGGTTGCCCAGAGAGGCTGTGGCTGCCCCTGGATCCCTGGAAGTGTCCCAGGCCAGGTTGGACGGGGCTTGGAGCAACCTGGACTGGTGGAAGGTGTCCCTGCCCATGGCAGGGGTGGCACTGGATGGGCTTTAAGGTCTCTTCCAACCCAAACAGTTCTATGACTCTATGATCTAATCCTACCTGGTCAATCCAGGGTCCTAGGTTGGGGGAACACTCGTACAAACACGTGTCCTGGATGAAGTGGCGCTTGCACTTGGGTGGCATCACCCCGCAGTGGTTCCAGTTGAAGTTGTACAGGTTGGATTCATCCCTGTGGGCCTCTGAACTAGTGTTGGCTGTGCAGCAGGCATTGTCCTTCCAGGGGGAACACTGTGACATAACAAGGGACAGGCTGTTGGGAGGGCAGGAACTCCAGGGAGTCAGAGGATGCTGCAGGTGCTGGTTCCTTGCAGGGCCCCCAGCAAGGTGCCTTCAGCAGCCAGAGGATTTTCTGTCCTCCAGCAAACCCTTGGGCACTTTGGATTGAGGAGTTCTGGGCTGCAGCCCTGGAGGAAGAGCAGGAGGTGGAGGTCATGGCCTCACCAGGAATTAGTCCCACCCTGAGGAACAGGAGCAAACCCCTTCTCCTGCATCCTGACTTGCTCTTAACCCCATCTCCACCAAGGGCCGGGGGTAGAGCAAGGAGAGTCTTCAATACCAAGAGGGAGCAGAGCAGAGTCTTCCCTTTCCGTCCTTTCCCTGGCTCTGCTCTGGGGTACCTGAGCTTTGGGAAGGGGAGATGTCCTGGTTAAAGAGGGGTGACACTGAGCTGATGGCTCCTCTCACCACTGCCCCTGCCCTGGCCATCTGCTAGAAGGCAGCAAACAAACCACTCTCATACCCAGCATGGGCTTCCTCCCTCAGGCAAGGGGTGGCCAAGCCCAAACCAGCCCACATATCTGGGGAGGTGGGTGCAGGGGGGGCCCACACAGCCCCACAGAGCCCTCCAGCAGCTCATACCTGGTCATGCAGCTTCCCCTCGGGGCCAGGCTTGCTTTTGTGGTGCTTGGCGTCCATGCAGATGTTCAGTAGTGTGTCCCTCGCCGGCAGCACCGCCCCGGCTGCCAACAGCACCAGCAGCACCAGCAGCATCGGCCCCGCTGCCATCGCGGGCACGGAGCGGAGGGGACAGGGCACGGAGCGGAGGGGACAGGGCACGGCTCGAGGAGGGACACGGAGCTGCGGACGGACTAGGGCCGGAGCGAGGGACAGGGCAAGCTCGGGAGGGACAGGGCTGGAGCGGAGGGGCAGGGCACGGCTCGGGAGGGACAGGGCACAGGGCACGGAGCAGGGCAGGAGCTGGAGGCACAGGCTCGGGAGGGACAGGGCACGGCTCGGGAGGGACAGGGCACGGAGCTGCGGGAGGGACAGGGCACGGCTCGGGAGGGACAGGGCACGGAGCTGGAGGGGACAGGGCACGGCTCGGGAGGGACAGGGCACGGAGCTGCGGGGACAGGGCACGGAGCTGCGGGGACAGGGCACGTTGGAGGCGTGAGGGGCAGAGGCACGGAGCCGGTCGGGAGGACATGGAGCGAGGACAGGGCATGGCCGGGAGGGGCCGTGCACGGCTCCGGGAGGGGCAGGGCATGGCCTGGGAGGGCAGCACGGAGCCGACGGATGGTGGGCACGGAGCGAGGGCTGGGCACTGGCAGCAGCGAGGGAGGTGCTGTGGGGGCCGAGCACTCCCGTGATGTGCCAGAGGCACCAAGGACACCAGCACAGCCTCCCCCTCCCTGGGCAGGGCTGCAAGGTCAGGCACACGTTATCATCGGGACAACGTCGGGAAAAACACCCTGGGAGTGCTCAACACCCCTGAGGGGAGTGAGGGTCCTCTGTGAGACCCACTCAGGCTGGGGTCCTTCGCCACCCAACTGCTTCAGAGGGAGCTTCCAGAGCCCAGGCCTTCTGCATCACGACAGGGTAGTTCAGGGATCCCTAGAGAGGGTTCAGAGGATGCAGTAAATGCACAGACACCTTGGGTGGACCATGAGCTGCAGGAGCCCCACTTTGTCCTCAGGAGTATGTTAAGATAGGAAAGCTTTTTTTTTTGTTGTTTTATCTGCATCTGGGACTTTGCAGACCCTCACCTGACATCTCCAGGGGAGACCAGAATCATCATAGAATCCCGGTATGGTTTGGGATGGAAGGGACCTTAAAGCTCAGCTCATTCCATCCCCTGCCATGAGCAGGGACTCCTTCCACTACACCAGGCTGCTCCAAGCCCTGTCCAGCCTGGCCTGACTTGAGCAATAAAACACATTTTACACTGTCATGCCTTGGCCTCCTCTGCCTGCCTGGGAGAAATTTTATTGTAATGTACTAAAAACCCCCAAACAACCAAAAAAACCAGAACAGCCAATAACAACACCCAAACAAGCAAATTCCCTGCCATTCCTCATCAATCCAGCACAAGGGTCTAAACCAACTGCCTTTTAAGAGGGATTTTGCAAGACACAGGAGCAAGACAAAGCAGTTACAGCATTAAAATAGCACTAAAAATCCCAGAAGAAGCAGTTACAGACCTGAGGAAGTAGACACAGAAATCTGAGAACTGGGAAGTACCTACCTTGTGTTATACATATTTACATAAGCTCATATATATATGTAAATTCAAAAAAGTCCCTTCTCCTCAAAAAAAAAAAAAAATTAACCTTAGCAGTCCTAAGAGCCTCTAAACTGACTGTAACACCTTAAAAACACTAAGCTCAGAGGCTTCCTGGAGCTTTAATAGGAAGGCTCCTGGTAGCACCTGGGAGGAACTTCCACCTGTGTTTAGGGAGGTTTCATTTGTGCCAGCCTTTGTTACTGCAGAGGTCGATGTTTTGTTATAACCAGCTTGCCTGGCCCCTTTCCCAGGCAGAAGCTCTTGCCTAGGAGACACTCGGGGGTTTGGTTCCAAAAGCAGGTCTCTGCTCAGCCTTGGCCCTCCACAACATGTCCCATTTCCCCTGCTCACCCTGCACCAGGCAGTTTGGGTTTGCACCATTGCATGAGACAGAAGAGCCAGGTAGGTACTGACCCAGGGTTTGTAATAAATGGAATAAATTCCAAAGGCAGCAAATGACAGGCAGGAATAATGCTGCTGCCTCAGGAGGAAGAACAACAGCAACTTCCAACACAAAGCAGAAACACGGGTGCTGAGGGGAGCAGTGCAGCTCCTTGTGACGCCTGAGCACAGTCATTGCTGCTCAAAGCTTCACCGGAGCCCGAGGAAAGCCCTGGCTCTCAGCACAGGCTGTCTTCCTCCTAGGGCAGCTTTTGGGGCTGCTTTGCTGTTCTCCTCACTCACATTTCTGATGTTTTGGTGATGAACCACTTGCCTAAGGAGCAAATCTTCTTAAATTTCATGTGTGAGCACTTTAGACTCTGGGGGAGCCTGCTTTAGTGATCACAGAATCCCAGAGTCACTGGAAGCCCTCCCAGCCCATGGATCCCCCTGTGCCCCATCCCCACCCTGTCCCCCAGCCCAGAGCACTGAGTGCCACGGCCAGGCCTGCCTTGGACACCTCCAGGGCTGGGCACTCCAAACCTCCCTGGGCAGCCCCTGCCAAGGCCTGACCACCCTTGCCAGCAACAAATTCCTCCCCTGGCCAACCTGAGCCTCCCCTGGCACAGCTGGAGGCCGTTCCCTCTCCTCCTGTCCCTGTTCCCTGGGAGCAGAGCCCGACCCCCCCCGGCTCCCCCCTCCTGTCGAGTAGAAAAGAACCTCGTGTGCTTCTACCCCTCCCACTGGAGCTGTCACCGAGCAGATCTTCCCCACTGACCCTTCCCCTCCTCTGCTCCCTTCTCCCCCGCAAGATGAGTGTTTCCCCCGAGGTACAGGACTGTGGCAGCTTCAGATGCCCTGGCTGTCCTGCCTGTTTCCTGCTCCTTGCCTTGGAATTTCTAATATCTGCTTTGTTTTTGGAACTGCTGATCACTGAACTGTGTTGTAACACTGTCAGAGCAGTGACAGCTTGTTCCTGAGAGATAATTGTCAGCCACCAGCCTGTCATCTTCCATCTGACGTGTCCTGTGCTCTCCCCAGTGCATCGCTGCCTGTTCATCTCAGCTGCTTTTTCAGTAAAATCTGTTGCTTTATTGTTCAGTGACTCAGTCATAGCAGGTGTCACATCCCACTCCTACGTGGAAAGGAGCACCCAAGAGCCGTAGATGGCTGTGGTTAAACAAGGATGGCAAAAGCCAGAAGGGTCCAAAAATAAAGCTCACAAAGTTTAATTGGCCAACTCCACCCTCCATGGGGAAATTGGTGCATGTTTTGCCCCCTCTTTCTAATGGTGACAGAAATAAAAGAGTAAAAAGAAAGAGGGAAGAAGGAGAGTGTGAAAGAGAGCTCAGGTAGTCGAGGAAAGGGGATCCCCAGTCCTGGCTCCAGCACTGATCTGACCAACAGGGTGTCTGCCCCCCACCCCATCCCCAGATCGTGTCTCTTGCTCTTCGTGTGAGTGAGCACGTGCAGTCTGTTCTTCTGGACCTTTCTGGAAATGGGTCGAGGGGTTTTGAGGGTCTTTTGGAGGTCTTGATCCCCCTCTACTGAACTGACCCTCAGCTGACAGTTCATGCCCCCTCCATGACCCCTTTCCTGCGCTGGTGCTGCCCTTTGTGTTGTGGGGTCACCATGGACCAGAACAGGGAAGTTGATCCCAAAAAGGTGCTGTCCCAAACAGGTGCTGTCCCTGAGAGGTGCTGCCCCACCTCGGTATGGCCCCTCCCAGCCACATCCTGGTGGTCACATCCTGGTCCAACTCTCTCCTTGAGTGGCCATTGGAGTTTGAGGCAAAACAACACATTAACTCTTTCCTGCCCAGGCTGCTACACCACAGTCTGCTGCAGATTTTTACAGCTGGTCCTGGAGGGTTTTAATACTATCAGAAACTTGGTTGACTTGATGTTTTCCCCTCCCTTTCCCAGAAAAAAATTGTTGAAAAGCAGAAATCAGAGAACCACAGAAGTTTCGGGTTGGTAGGCACCTTAAAGGTCATCCAGTCACATGCCCTGCCACACCTTCCACTAGACCAGATTGCTCCAAGTCCCACCCAGCCTGGCCTTGGACACTTTGCAGGGATGGGGCTTATCCGAGTGCTTTTGTATTCAGCCCTTTGATCCATTCCCTGTGACCTTGTCACGCAGAGATGCCGTGTTTGTGGCTGTGCTGATCCCCCCACCTCTCCAAAGAGCCTCTCAGGGTGTTCCATGGGAAGGTGCAGACCTTGTCCTTGCAGGGAGGACCTTTGCCCACACACCAAGGCTCGGTGCCGCTGGCGATGGCAGCTCCCACCCGAGAGGCCTGGTGGGGTCCCACGTGGCTCCAGCTGCCAAAATGGACACGCAGGTTGTTATGATCAGAATCATTAACCAGCAGAAAAGCAAAGGCACTGTGTGTATAAAGGCAAGGATTAATTGTTGGTGTCATTGACAGCAGGCCAACACAAGAGTCAGTGTGAGTCCAGAGCCAGTTATTGCAGAAAAAAGAGCTAAATTAATATTTCTCTACAGAAAAAAAAAGTAATAATTGTAATAAATCAAGATTGTTATACACACTCTTCCCAATTTCTACCTCTTTGCTGGGGCCACCCTTTCCCTGCTCCTTGGGGTCCTGAGCTTGGTGACTTTGGTGGTGGATGACACACAGAGCCACAAAAACCTGGAGTCCTTCACAGGGAGTCATGATATTGGTGTTTGTGGCTTCTTCTGCCTCCCTCTAGGGTGCACTCTGTGTCTGTTTTACCTTTGATAATGTGCTTTTGCACCTTGCTCTCCCCTCGCTGCTCTGCAGGCCCACGATACCGACATTTCCTAGATAGGATGCATTTTTTTCATGCCAGATGCTTGTTCTTTGCTCTCTTTGCCACCCCCAAGGCATTTTTGCCCCAGTCTGAGCTTGTATTTCCTTAACGGACTATCCCAGAGTTGTTTTATAGCCATGAGTTACATACAGTTGTACAATATAATAGTTACTTACACACACATATATATTATCTATATAATATCTATATACAGGCAGTACCAGCCTGTGCCTGTCTCTCGTTACCTCTGCCTGCACTCCTCCGTGTCACATCCGTGTCCCCCCTCCCTGAGGCCCTGCCATCCTGCCAGGTGTGTGTTTC